GTGTAACTGAGTACGTCCGGTGCGCGCACGCACGCACACGCACGCACGCACACACACATACATACAAACATTCCCAGGATGCAACCAGCAATAGCTGACTTGGTCCCAGGTACCTATTTACTGCCGTGTGCCTATATACCTCTGCCTCGTCCGGGGACCTGAACCCGGCTTCGTGGACTACGAGTCCCGCTCGCTGTCTACTAGGCCGCAAGTACCTGCATGTGTGTAAAAAATAAACTGAATGGAGTACACTTAAATAAACATAAACCAAACAGATGCAACACACACACATGTCGTTCATTTTTAATGTTTCAAACGACTATGTCAGGTGTTCCTCCTGCAGGTGTCTGATCAGACGCAATTTAGAAATACTCAGAATTGAGTATGCCAATTTGCGTCTGCCTTATGACAAAGCTGTCGGGACATATTGCAATATTGTTGTTCGTCTCTCAGGTGTGGCTTAAGTTGATGTTTGGGATGGATAAGGATATGTACATATGTAGTGGTGTTAAAAATAGGGGATACACAGTCTTTTTTTTTTACAAGAGACGTTTACGCTTTAAAACAAATGCATTCAAGCTTTTGAAAAGAATTTTGATTACGGTAAAATAAAAATCGGTCACAAATTTTTTTTATTTTTCTGATTAGATTCATTTTTAATTTTACCTTTATGGAGATGCTCTACCAAACACTTATTTAATCCTCAAGATTATTATATGGTGGTAAGTTTGATAACAATATTAATGATTTTTTAAATAATTATTTTTATAGACGTAACTAATTTTAATTATTTTTATGTATGTCTAGATGATTATAAAAAGTCTTTTATATAGCTCATACATCGAGTATTGTCACAAATGAGATACTAATGATAATACAGCCAGCATTAACTTCCATGAGGGACAAAACATTACTGCTTTAATACATTTAGATTTATAAAAAAAAATCCAGGAAAAGTTGACTTAAATTAATTAAATATCCGGGATCATATAATTCTCTGAATCAGTCCATTATAATTTTAATAGACCTGGCATTCAAATAAGAGATTTATATAAAAATGAATGATAATATTTATGTATTATTGTCCTATTTCTGAACAATTTATTTTCATTTTCATGTTCATGTTCATTTTCTGAACACCGGTTACCGATATTCGAAAGATTTAACGAAAAGAATAAAGGTAGAAAAGAGAATTATAACGTTCCAATAATCCGAATATTTGTAATCTTTAAATCTGGCCGAATCTTGGAATTAAATTGATCATTAATCGTGTATTAATTAATCCTTAATAGTAGAACTATCACAAATCCCAAATGCAAACATCAGACGCTTTATTCAAAGCTAATTATTTTTGTAGAGAGAGATTCTGTATACTCCTTGTTGTAGTATCGATGTATACTAACAGGCTGTGTGTAACATTTTACTTTATCGCAATTGGTGATCTAGGAATTATGAGGAAAACACGACCATCTTCATCTCCACTTCCTTCAAAGCAGATGAGGACATGAATACAGTAATCTTTAAGAAGGGGAAATGCTGTAGGGATTGGTTTATTAGCTGCTCACCCGGATACATGGGAGAAGGGTCAATCTTACTCTAATGACACGTTCGGGATCACTGAGAAGGAAGCAAGATGTAGTTCCTTATATTTAAGAGTCAGATTTTTCAATACCTCCTAAACTAACATCAAAGGAGACAATGATAAGTTCCTGATAGTAGCCCATAATCATCTTATCTCGTGACCTCTTGTTGATCATCTTAGTTCGCAAGTCCTCACCAATTTGCCAGATTTGGTCTTAAGACCCGGCCACAGGGCGATGAACTGAAGAACATATCTATTGGAAGAGCACAGCCTACGTGGCTTTTGATTTTTTTTTCATTTATTGTGCACCATTTATTGTGCAAGGGAGCCGGTCGGCCGAGCGGACAGCACGCTGGGCTCGTGATCCTGTGGTCCCGGGTTCGATCCCGGGCGCAGGAGAGAAACAATGGGCAGAGTTTCTTTCACCCTATGCCCCTGTTACCTAGCAGTAAAATAGGTACCTGGATGTTAGTCAGCTGTCACTAGCTGCTTCCTGGGGGTGGAGGCCTGGTCGAGGACCGGGCCGCGTGGACACTAAAGCACCGAAATCATCTCAAGATAACCTCAAGATCTCAAGATAACCCTTTACCTATTCCGTGGCCGGTAGTGGAAAAGGTTACGGAGGCACACAATGGGCTAAGGAGCTGAATCCCAAAGTTCATTTAGCAAGTAACTATCTTGTAAAGCTAATTACAAAATTTAATATATGAATAGTCTTGGGAATAGTTATGGGAAGCTATTGCTTCCCCATTCCCATAGCTCTCTATTGCTACAGAACTATGGGAATAGCTCTTGAGTGGTCGAAATGAAATCTTTGTGGCGTGATATCTCAATAAAAATGCTTTTGAGACAATCGACTGACTTAAAACAGCGTTCTGGTGATTCTCAGACACCTGCGATAACCGACTCTGCCACGATGGTACAAAAGTCGATCAATCCAGAACGCTACTGAATTCACAGGGAGGTTCTGGAGGCCTTGAACCGGATCCCAACCAGGTTTTTTTTTACAGTCAATCCGACCACACACTGGCCTACGGTAATGACCTAAACACATTTACACACCCCTCCAATTTTTCGTCTTCTGCTGTGTGAGTTTACATTTGGCCATACCTGGCTCAGCAAAGTGAGCAAAAAAAAAAAAAAAAAGAAAAACCCTGAAGCTCTTTTAGCCGAAGCTAAGCCTAGCTGTAATAATGTCAGGAAGTGTGCTACATTACGGCACACACGTGACACGCCAATAAACAACAACACAGGAAGCCTACGTCTCAGCACGTCAACAAACACCTGTAGTACCTCACAGGTAGTGTACATAACGACACACACACATCAACACCCTCCTACGCTTCACAGGTCAACCCGTCCTCTCAAAATAACGTCGCTTTTCGCTCGTATGCGCGCTACGGCCAAAAAATATTCGTAAAATGTCTATATATGTGTTAACAAAAAACCCGTCCGTCACTTAGAAATTAATTCTCTCATTTTACTCACTACAATACAATCATAATTTCTCAACACGTAACAATAAAGATTGTTATATTCCCAAACACATCGTTCAGTGAATGTCATCAGCAGTGAGAAGCGAGACGGTCAACGGGCGCAATGTATATTGGACAAACAGCTGTCGGCTGGAAGATTATTTACATTTCGTTAGGGTTTAAAGACAAAACAGTGGCATCACCAGATACAGAGATGAAAAAAAAGGGACCACATACGGGTCTTATCTCACTACATTACCACTGTAGTTTAGCCCAAACGACGCTTGCAGATTACCTCAAGCAGACATCACAGGAGAATGATCACATATATATATAAAAAAAAAGTTTAATTGGTTGCCTCTTTTTTTTTTTAATTTGGTCGTCCCGGGTCTTTTGATGTTAGTGGGTGAGTATTAATGGATATCTCAAATTATGTCCAGCTCTATATATATATAAAATAAACGGATATATTCAGATATTTGCTGAACGCATATTATTATTTGCAAATTTATATATATATATATATATATATATATATATATATATATATATATATATATATATATATATATATATATATATATATATATTTATTTATTCGAATGTTTCAGTTTTATCAATATTACTAGTTTCCAATCTTTAACCGTTTGATATTTTCGTAATAAATGAAATTAATTCATTAAATAGCTTTTAGGCGTTTGAATTTCGATTTATTACTTTGAAATAAAATACTCCACACGGGCACAAGCACAAGCACAAGCACCCACTTCCACACAAACAATGCAGACCAAAATACACATTCCATGGGAAATATACCCAATGTAGAGAATACCCCTCGTTTCTGACCCAATAAATTAATGAATGAATGAATATTTTCAAAGCAGCTCATTTACTCACCTCTATTATAAAGCTATTGATCTCCTGAGTCAATGACTATCATTATTTAGATGAAATGTTTGAATTTAATTGTCAAAAAAGTATTTCCCGCTAATTTTGTCCGTTTTTCAATTTACAGGATTTTAAAAGGACATGAATTACTCATTTAAAATGCCACACACAGAGGTCAAGCACCACAGATTCAAGGTCATTTAACTCAAATTGCCGCTGGAAATTTCTGAATCAGGAAAAGAAGATAGACAAATCAGGGGAAAAACATATAATGAAAGAGGAAAAGACGACAGCTTCCATTAATCAAGTTAACGATTACAAAGTGTCATAAGATTTTAATAGGAGTAAATTAAAAAAAAATGGAATATATTCTGTTCTCTGAAATTGCTTGAAGTTAATTTCGCAGTTTTGCTTTGTATTCCTCGGATGTACTCACCTATTTGTGCTTGCGGGGGTTGAGCTTTGGCTCTTTGGTCCCGCCTCTCAACTGTAAGTTCACTGTGTAGATGTGTAGTTCGCTGTTTGCCCGAGTGTGTGTCGTTTGCTTCACCTACCTGCATGTCTAAGTCTCGTAGTCACTGTATGTGAATATATTTGACTATTTGTGCTTCCTATTTGTGCTTGCAGGATGGTACAGCAGTTTAGTTTCTAATCGTCAGCTGTCGTGTGTATTGTTCCAATTCAATTTTTCTATATGTATTACATACAACTCTCCCTCCCTTTCACATACACAAAATTCATCAAACTAACAAGTCAAATAAAGGGATCGAATTAAACAACAAAAAAATCCAGCGGAAGATCAGAGCTAATTTGCATACACTACAATGATCGGCAGCACGATAATAACAGCCTATTAAAAGGCATATTCCCTTTTTCCCCGCACCTGGTGAAACGCTATTGTCCCATCCTTAAACTTTAACGAAATGTAAATAATCTTTCACACGACGGTGTCGGACTCGTATGTATATTATCCCGCCCATCCGGCGTGTTGTACTTGTCAGTCTGTTGGTCTGTCGCTCTTGTTCGTCCGTCGGAACATCGTCTCTCTCTCTCTTTCAGTTAGAAGGAGTTTTGCCCCATTCCGGCTGTTCTGCTTGTCGACTGTTTCCGGCTGTTCTGCTTGTCGACTCTTTCCGGCTGTTCTGCTTGTCGACTCTTTCCGGCTGTCTGCTTGTCGACTGTTTCCGGCTGTTCTGCTTGTCGACTCTTTCCGGCTGTCTGCTTGTCGACTCTTTCCGGCTGTTCTGCTTGTCGACTGTTTCCAACTGTCTGCTTGTCGACTGTTTCCGGCAGTTCTGCTTGTCGACTCTTTCCGGCTGTTCTGCTTGTCGACTCTTTCCGGCTGTTCTGCTTGTCGACTCTCTCCGGCTGTTCTGCTTGTCGACTCTCTCCGGCTGTTCTGCTTGTCGTCTCTTTCCGGCTGTTCTGCTTGTCGACTCTTTCCGGCTGTTCTGCTTGTCGTCTCTTTCCGGCTGTTCTGCTTGTCGTCTCTTTCCGGCTGTTCTGCTTGTCGACTCTTTCCGGCTGTTCTGCTTATCGACTCTTTCCGGCTGTCTGCTTGTCGTCTCTTTCCGGCTGTTCTGCTTGTCGACTCTTTCCGGCTGTTCTGCTTGTCGACTCTTTCCGGCTGTTCTGCTTGTCGTCTCTTTCCGGCTGTTCTGCTTGTCGACTCTTTCCGGCTGTCTGCTTGTCGACTCTTTCCGGCTGTTCTGCTTGTCGTCTCTTTCCGGCTGTTCTGCTTGTCGACTCTTTCCGGCTGTCTGCTTGTCGACTGTTTCCGGCTGTCTGCTTGTCGACTCTTTCCAACTGTCTGCTTGTCGACTGTTTCCGGCTGTCTGCTTGTCACCCCTTTTCGGCTGTTCTGCTTTTCGCACTCTCTAACATCATTGTGTCGTAGTTAATTTATCAAATTATTTTGAACCTTTAAAATTAAAACAAACAATAATATGAAATGATCATAGAAGTACCTAACTGGTACCCAAATGAGACTTGAAATCTTTCCACTACTACTTGGACCGGTCGGTACAGCGCCGGAGGCCTTGCATCTTGCAGGTCGGCGTTCGATTCCCCATGGCCCAAGCGGTTGGGCACCTTATTCATTCCCGCCGCCCTATCCTAGATTCTTGTTATATCCTCTCCCCAAGAGGCATGCTAGCTTAGCGCTCTATCCTCATACAGAGAGTTACCTGACACCTTTAAACCGTCCTTGCTGCTCCAATAAGGTATCTGGTGTTTAATGACAAGGATGAGGACGGATGGATAACCTCTTGATTCCTTTACAATTGTGTAGGGAGAGTCTAAAATCTCAAATCAGGTACCAATTATAGGTGAATCTGAGAGCATTGCTTAATATGAGTAGCCATGAATGTGGCTGGTAAGACAATTGTCTCGTATTTTTCGATTCTCCGATCATCCTAGAGAATTAAATGTTACTTCGTACGGTATTGTCGTTTGCAATATATATCTCAATATATATTGAGATAATATATCTCAATATATGATAATATATCATATCAAATCTGTATATATTTATCTCAAATGATAAACATGAATAGTACATAGACCATACAATTACTCATAGCAATATTCATCCTGCACAACAATGGTGAGATATATTTGACTGAAATGCATGTAATTTTGTTATTGAAAAACAGTAGCTTCATTAACCAAAAAATCCCGCTGAAACGTGGGCTGAACTAGTACACAGCCGCAAATTAAAAATGACGAGAGAGCGCAAGAACACACACACACACACACACACACACACACACACACACACACACACACACACACACACACACACACACACACACACAGGCCTAGGGTATGCCGAGTTGGAATTGCTGCTCAACACGTAAATTATATGAAAATTACACCCGGCCATTCTCTGAAATGATCGTTTGGTGTATTTTCCTTTTTAAGGTTTTATTCTGTGAAAAAAAAATATATATCGAGAAATAAGAATTATGGGATAAAGTTTGTGTATTTTAAATGTATAATACAATTTGTAGAAATATTATAATTAAATTTTTTTTAGCCTACATCACGTGTGGATTATTTCGATAGCTACTAGCTATAGAACTACACTTGTTAGTACTGTCATAATTCGTTGAAATTTATTGAAATGCTGTTAGACATTCACTTGATCTTTGCTGTTTGTGGAAGTTACTATTACAGTTTGCATAATCAGCTGTGTTTTTTTTTGTTATGATATGGGCGTCTTAAATACTATTTTCGTGCAAGGAAAACACTTTTCTTGTAGCTACATTTTGGTATTTTCTGTTATTGACTTTAGGGCAGTAGCCCGTTGTCTTCATTTGCCAGAACGTACAAAATAGATTGTTCTAACTGAATCAGAAACATGCGTACCCATGCCACCCACTTAACCTAATCTACCGAAACAGAGAAAACGTGTATATTTCTTTTATTAGCTACTTTTCATAGTACTTTGCGTATTGTATACTGGGAAGCATGAACAAAATTAAACGTACTAGTGGAGAGGACAGGTTGGTAAGCCAAAATGCGGCTAATATGCGATTTGTGAGCTTTGAAAAATGTGCATCAGACTCTAGTTGTAAGACGTCAGATGATGATGATTTAGATTCAGCTACTCCGAACCAAAAGTTCCAAGTAGCACGGGCTACGGTGAGCCCATAGCAGCACAAATGCGGGGCTGTGACTCCTAACGTCACATGTTTAGCTCTGTTTTATATATATTTTTAATAAAACCTTGGATGGGTTATGGGTTATTCATGCCCGTGTCACCTCTTTGGGTGGCTTAATCTTCAATCAATCTGGATTGGAGTTCGAAATTAGAAGCGAGCTGTGCGTGAGAGAATTCTGTGATTCTAAAAGGAGTGCTTTAAGGACTTTAGTCAAACGAATCTGGCTCATTATATATGTAAAAAGAACTTTGATGGGTTGATATTTATCCATGAACGATTTCTTCGAAGCATTCAAAATTCAGTTGCCAAGTGGACAGCGCTCTAGGGCCGTAGTCCAAAGAGCCTGAGTTCGATTCCCGGTCGAGGCAGAAACCAGATGAAAGGGCAGTGTTTTTTTTTTTTGTCCCTGATGGTCCTGTTTACCCTGGGAGTTAAGTGTTACGAGCTGCAGCCTGGAGATGTGTATATGTGCGAGAGAGAGAAGCATGTATATTACATACGCTGTAAGAAATACAAAGGTCAAGAGTCAGTACATTAGACAACCGACGGTAAGAAAGGCGGAGCCCAAGATCTAATAACTCGATCCTGCAGACACAAATAATAAAACACACTCACGTTCAGACTCAAGCGAGTGAGGTCACACACACACACACACACACACACACACACACACACACACACACACACACACACACACACACACACACACACACACACACACAGGGGGAGCCTCGCTCCCTGGTATCTGCTGGTACCTAAAATGCATCGACCAGTATTGGGGAAATTATTGGGTTGACTCGTGAACTCTCGCTTATATTTTTTTCCGTCTTTATGCTACCAAATGTTTCTGACGGATTGGTGCGGGAAAGGAAATGAAAGGAGACAGAGGAGAGACAGACAGACAGAAACAGACATAAAAAAAGGAATGGAATAGGAGAGGAAATGAAAGGAGACAGAGGAGAGACAGACAGAAACAGACATAAAAAAAGGATGGAATAGGAGAGGAAATGAAAGGAGACAGGAGAGACAGACAGACAGAAACAGACATAAAAAAGGAATGGAATAGAAGAGTAATTGAAAACGAGAGGTAAAAGATAATGAAAAATAAGATAGAGAAAATAAAATTGTAAAGAGGGAGATAGTGAAAACAGATAGAAGACAAAAATAACGATAGCTGTAAAGAAATAAAAAACACAGAGGTAGAAAGAAGTAACAGGCTGAAGTATGAAGAGGGGGAAAAAAAGGCTGAAGATTTTGGTAGGTAAAAAGATGCAGAACCAATGGCATAGATAGATGAGGGGGAAAGGAGAAGAGAGTGAAAAGAAAACAGAGGGAGGGAAAAGGATAGAGGGAGGAGAAAGTGTAAGACAATGGTAGGGCTTATTGCCGGAAGACTGGAGACGGAAGAGAAACATGAAATAGATATATTGATAAGTGTGTGTGTGTGTGGGGGGGGGGGGGGGGGGGGGGGGGGGGGGGGGGAGGGGAGGGGGGGGAAGGTGATGAAGCTGAATACCTCTGCAGGAGGCGAGTACTTACTGGCTGTGAGTACTTCAAGGAAAGTACCGAAAGAAAGTATGAACAGGCGAGAATATACAACAAAAATTATAAGATACTGGAGTGAGGAATATGGTAGGAAGTGCAAAATAAATCTCATAAAAAGAGTAAGGAATATAGTAGGAAAAGAGTAAAAGTAAACCTAATAAAAGTGAGGAATATAGTAAAAAGTGCAAAATCTAATAAAATTAAAGAAAAAAAGAGTCAACTTCCAAAGGCTCACGACTCATTAACCGCCTGCCGTCTAATTAAAGAAACGCCACTGGAACAACATTAGAACCCTTCAAGAGAGTGAGAACTGGACAAGTTTCTGCCAGAGTTGGCGGATCAGCCTGGTTGTGATGGCTACGTTGGGCCTTCGGGCTACGAAGACAATTAAGTAGTCTCATAGACCAGGTCTAATCACCGGCGAAATCTGGCCACAGTCGAGACTACGAAGAGTGAGACGTACACGCTCTAAAACTCGTCAACAGTGCAAATGTGTAAACACACCTTTGGAGGGAGGGAGGGGGGGAGACCTATGACAAGTCGCCGGCTTCCTGTCCTCGTCGAGGCCACTAACGTTAGTGGCCCTTATGTAAATTCAGGGAAACACTGACGTATATATAGCATAGCCCTTTACTTCATTGGGCACCATAACCGCTCTCCTATTCCGGAGTGAGTGAGTTGAGTGAGTGAGGCAGTGAGGTGAGTGAGTGAGTTTGAGGCTAGAGAACATTAAGGGGGGGGGGAGGGGTGGAGAACAAAAACAAAAAACAAGTTGTTCTCGTGAGGGCCACACAAACACGACCCAGAAAGCAATTACGGTCGAGAGCGTGGCGTCATGGCCGCGGATTTGAGCACATAAACGACTTTTTCTAATGTCCGTTTTACAGCAACTTTGGCCACTAATTATATCCCGCTGCTGATCCCCCCCTTCCCCATCCACCCCCTCCCCTCCCAGCAGCAGCGGTGTCCCTCTCTCTCCCATCATCCCTCTTCCCTTGTCCTCTTTCCCTGTCCTCGTTGTCCTGTTAACTAGTTACTGGCTATTTCTTCCTATTCTCAAAGTTATTTTCTCCTTCTCTTCATATCTTTGTTCTTCTTCCCAGTTCTCTTCTTTCCCACGCGTTCTTCTACGACATCTCTTCAAGGTTGTGTTTCTCCTTATTCTCTCTCTCTCTTTCCCTTTCCAATCATTTTCCTCATCTCTAATCATCCTTTTTCTCTTCTCCTCTCTCTCCCTTTCCAATCATTTTCCTCCTCTCGCCTTCCTTTCCTCTTGTTCCTTCCCTCTTCTTCAAACTTCACTAACCTTTTTTACTTCCAATCTTAATTTTTATTTTCGCGCTAGTCTTTCTCCAGCTGCTACGAACGACACAACAGATTATTATTAAAGGGGAAGGGAGGGAGAGGGAGAGGAAGGAGGCGAGGGAAACCTTTCATCTCGCTGGTTCTCTTCAATCTTGTGTAACAGGAGACATAGTGTGTGACCAAGAGCGTGACGTCTCCTGGATGTTGTCACAGCGGCCGGGATAATGAGATCATCGATGCTTCAACCATCACACCTAGTGTATATACATTATCTACGGTGAGTCTCTACAGATAGTCAGATGCAACTGGGAGATTGGTGAACCCCGACAGAGAGAGTGCATCTTCTGCCAAACTGTCACAGAAAAGCCATTACTTCACTATCTTCTGGAATGTGAAGCAACCAATGACCTTAGAAGAGCTTTAAGAGTTCCTGAATCATGCAGTGGCCACCCTGAAGCCATCAACACAGCCACTCTCCTGGTCAACAAAGGTGTCCAGCAGCTGGACACCCTCATAAAGACTGTGAAGCAGTATCCTCCCCCGCGATAACAGCTTGATGGTTAAATGCAACCTCAGAATACTGAGAAAAAAAAATTGTACCACTTACGGGCTATTTATGCCCGTGCCACCTCTTGGGTGGCTTAATCTTTATCAATCAATCTGAGTCTCTACTCGTCCTTGTATATACTCACCTGAGTCATTCCTTTTCCTCCCATACTCACTACGGCAATTCTTCCCTTTTTTCATTCACGATGAGCGTCCATTTACCTAGCACACTAGGAAAACGAGCCAATTAAGCAACAAACAGCACTGGTCACGATGGGACCTCTACCGAGTTCTTCCTGCTTTAACCAATGTTGGACTAGTTTTCTTCCCTATTATTCATCCCTTATTCCATTCCCCAAGTTTGATTTCTCCTACATTCCTTCGTCCCTTCACCTCACTTCACACAACTATATCTCTTCCATATGTGTATTTAACCCAAAAATTTCACCTTGTGTATAACGCCCCGCTCCTGTGTTAGTAAGTCCACTACGGGATCACCATAGCCCATGCTACTTGCAACTTTTTTGTTCTGAGTAGCTGAATCTAAAAGCAACAATCTTGTGTATTCATTCTTTACCCAAAAATGTTCCGGAGAGAAATGAAATGTTGTAGACAATAAATCCTTCAATAATTACTAGTTTCTTTAAAGGGAATTTTGTAACTTGATTGCTCTTCTAAATCCCGAAAGTAAATAGAAGCATAGAAACCTTATTCTATATCAACACCACCAGCAATGCGTTCGTATCTAAACAAATATACTTCGTGGAAAGCCTAGTGCCCAAGTTTGTATGTATATTATATATATATATATATATATATATATATATATATATATATATATATATATATATATGCGGAAAATTCACAGAGAAATATGAAAGGTGAACGTTTCGGCCTGTTAAAGCCTTTGTCAACACAAGACTGACTAGAGGAGAAGGGGGAGGATACAGGCCGACACCTGACCAACCCATCCTTAGGGGAAAGAATTAACCAGAAACAGGTATAGCTTAGCTTAGAATGGTCAAAGAGGATTAAGCGGTCAGAGAATAAGGATGGAAGATTAAAGAAAAGCCTCATGAACACGCAACCGCTTAATCTGCCCGCTTAATCCTCTTTGACCATTCTAAGCTAAGCTATACCTGTTTCTGGTTAATTCTTTCCCTAGAGTTGGGTTGGTCAGGTGTCGGCCTGTATCCTCCCCCTTCTCCCTTCTCCTCTAGTCAGTCTTGTGTTGACAAAGGATTTAACAGGCCGAAACGTTCACCTCCTTTCATATTTCTCTGTGGATTTTCCACATAAAATGATCAGTGTTTTGTGATCGTCAATTGCATATTATATATCTATATATACAACTTTAGAACACTTTCCCACCAGGAGACTCGAACCCTAGCCAGCACAGAAGCCTTCCAGCAACTGGCATAACAGGTACGCAAACTACCCAGTTGCTGGAAGGCTTCTGTGCTGGCTAGGGTTCGAGTCTCCTGGTGGGAAAGTGTTCTAAAGTTGTATACTTAACTCTCGTGTTTAGGAGAGTTGTGCCTTATATCTATATATATATATCTATATATATATATCTATATATATATATATATATATATATATATATATATATATATATATATATATATATATATATATATATATATATATATACACACACACACACACACACATTATATATTTAAGCTCTAACCTACCAAAAACCACCGTTAAAATGCTAAATCGCAAACCAGTTAAGACACACGGGCGCTTCCGACTCTCCTGGCGAATGAGACACGGACAAAACTAAATCCTTGTCAGCGGTACATAAGCGAGTTGCCGCGAATCACAAACTGCCTGTAACTCGAGGGATGTAATCCGCCAGCTGGGAGGGGAAAATGGAAATACACAAAAGCTCCCCTTAGGCTTCAAGGGTAACAAAAGAACACCGCCGATATTTACGATAAAGTCTGCGATATCGTTAGTTCCCGAAACCTCACAGTTGAGGGAGTGTTAAAACTGACTGAAAAGCCAGCAAGAGAAAATGGATTCTGCTTTTCCAAGAACGCAAATTTCTGCATTTTGCTTTCGCGATACCGATAAAGCTCAGTACGTTATTCCGACTCCCACATTCGTTACTTTTAAGATAGTATAAAACGGTATCTGCTAAAGAAAACGAGAAGTGATGCAACGGACGTGGGAGAACTTAGGGTATTATTTTCGGTCTGAATCGTGGTGAAGAATTCTTAATGGTGTGAGTGGCATTAAGCCTATGCTGGAAGGCCTGCTAAAGCTTGACGCTGGAAGGGCTGCTAAAGCTTCACGCTGGAAGGCCTGCTAAAGCTTCACGCTGGAAGGGCTGCTAAAGCTTCACGCTGGAAGGGCTGCTAAAGCTTCACGCTGGAAGGGCTGCTAAAGCTTGACGCTGGAAGGCCTGCTAAAGCTTGACGCTGGAAGGGCTGCTAAAGCTTCACGCTGGCAAGAGGCACCAGTACTCTTGCTGGGTGATTTTGTCCTTGTCAATGTCCTAATGTTAACTATTTATAACCAGCCGGGACTGTGACATTGAGCAACGCCTAATCGCCATCAACGTCGATTCATTGTCGAACGAAGACCACTGCGCGCGTGCGCGATCAACTAATCAGTACAGTTGATTCATAATCGAAAGGCCAATTAAGGGTTCGATTCCCGCGTAGTAGACGGTTGGGCTCCGTTTTTGTTCAATTGTTGCCTCTACTCACCCAGCAGTGTAGTAAGCCCATTATTTCAGTGGATGAATAGCCTCTATACAGTTCAGGAGCATCAGCAGTTTTGTACAAGATTCGTAGCCTTTTGGGTTCAGCTATGCACTGAATATCGCTATGCGTCTTAGTTCGGTAGTAGTGACGGTATAGCCTCAGTTGCATTTAGTAGCCTTCGGCAACCTTGGTTAGGCTGGCGGCCTCAACGACATCGGTAGACCGGAAGAGTTACGGAGCAATAAGCAACCTCACTAGCCTCTAACAGCTTCAGTAATTTTCTGTTCCTCTGTTGGAGGATCCAGGACGACGACTCGACTTGGGAGCTGTTTTAATACCCTAAGTAGTGCCGGAAGACTTAATACCATCATTTACCTCAGCGCTCCACACACACAAACACAACACACACACAAAGAGAGAAAAACCTGGCCGAATCTTCGAGGCGGGGCATGGTTCCCAATAACGCTAATGGCCCCCACCGGTGGTGCATGGTTCCCATTCTCCACAACCGGTGCCCTGCTCCTCCTAGCCCCCCGGAGTCTTAATCGCCCTGATGGGTCTTATAGTCGCTCGAGTCGCGCTAGTAACTCTCCCAACAAACTGCATAGGAAGACCATAAACTTGACCGCCGCTGCCCAGCACAAATCCGCTCTAGAGTCTCTCCTCGTATCTTGGCCGGATTTTTCGTGCCTACTTATTCGCAAGGCAGCGTTTCCTGTAAGCTGTTTCCATGGCCACCGGCGACGCACAAGGTTGAATTTGCATCTAGAAATAACACCTTCCGAACGCTTTGAATATTGCCTGCTAATAATGCCCTGCTGACTCCTGGAGCTCCGAGCTCAAAATAATATTTTAAAGGTAATGGAAACTTCTGATAATGCACTGATACGTAGTGGTTTTAACACGAAATAAATAGCAAGGCGAGACTTAGTTACATTAAAAAAGGAATCTTAAGTGGTGCTGAAGATCGAGGGAAAAAACACACTAAGATTTTTTACAAATTCACAAGGGCCGTGACGAGGGTTCGAACTTATGTCCGAAAGGATCCCAGACGCTGCCTTAATCGACTAAGCTACGACATGGTAAAAGAATTGCATCCGATAAATCATCCTGATCTACAACGGGTCCTGCAGTCTGAGACTGCGGTTTTTTTGCAGACTGTAAAAAAACTCTGGTTTGTGTCTTGGAGAGACTGCAGGACCCGTGGTAGATCAGGATGATTTCCCGGTTGCAATTTTTTTTACCATGTCGTAGCTCAGTCGATTAAAGCAGCGTCTGGGATCCTCTCAGACGTAGGTTCGAACCCTCGTCACGGCCCTTGTGGATTTGTTCATTTGATGCATCAGTTTGAAATTAATATGTTAGACGTGTGTACTTAGTACACTATCCTTTTATATGTAATTACAGTAAGTGAATTTTTATGAGAGTTGATATATAGTTTTTTTTAAATAAAGTGTAGTAGAGATTTATATAAGCTAGCCTTAATTACTTTTTTGTGGAGATATCTAGACTTTAAACCAGTTTCTGGAATCACACAAGTTATTCAGAGCCATGTTTTTCCTGCAACACGATTCGCTAATCAATTTACATCCAGGTCCCCCATTGACTGCCAGGCGAGAGAGGAAAGAATGCGAAATGAGAACGAAGACAATGTTATGGGGGGGGGGAAGGGGCAGCAGGAGAACATTCTGAGTAAAATAGAATGATTGGAACTGAATGGGGAAAATCTGCAACTTTTTGATCAGTTTAATTTCCTGGGTTGTGTGACATAATATACCTGGAGTATGTGATTAATATATACCTGGGATGTGTAATTAAGGTTGGGAGAATGACGAGTCTTGGATTCAAAGTGGATGATGCAATTGAAGTTAAATATCATACTCTAAGATGCTAAGCTATGTATACTGAAAAGCTAAAGTACGCTAAATACGACTTATGTACACTAACCTAATTTATGTAAAAATGTTGATTTACATACACTACTAGGCTAAAATACTTTCGGTAAAATGCCGTGTACACACAAATACACTGAAACCACGTGCACTAAATCGCTAAATCACGTGAGTTAAATCGCTAAACTACGTGTACTAAATCGCTAGAATACGTACACTGAAACGCTAAAAACCCACGGGCGCTAAAGCAGGCTCCTATTATAACTGAACTGGATTGAATTTCTGGAACAACTGACATGAACTTTGTCAGACTGGCCTCGTTACAGCAGGTTCGTGCTGGAGTTGAGACAGACCAACGGACAATTCTTGGTCAAATGACCTTCAGTTTTCACACACAGGTACGCTGGACATGGCACGAAAACAAAAGTTTAGCGCCAAAAAAGGCTGTATATCGATCTCTCTCTCGTACATCTTTACAGCAATGTAAATGAGTTGACTGATGCTTGGGCCACCACCAATGGCCTAAAACAACCTTCCTCTGAATTC